TGCTTGGTGATCACAGTCACTTTCTCAGCAACCAGGTAAGCAGAGTAGAAACCCACACCGAACTGGCCAATCATGGAGATGTCGGCACCTGCCTGCAAAGCCTCCATGAAGGCCTTGGTGCCCGACTTGGCTATGGTGCCGAGGTTATTGATCAGGTCGGCCTTGGTCATCCCAATCCCAGTGTCCACGATGGTGAGGGTGCGATCTTGCTTGTTTGGAATGAGGTTGATGTGCAGCTCCTTGCCGGAGTTGAGCTTACTGGGGTCTGTCAGGCTTTCGTACCGTTTTTTGTCCAAAGCATCGGACGAGTTGGAAATCAACTCCCGCAGGAAGATTTCTTTGTTTGAGTAAAAGGTGTTGATGATCAGGGACATGAGCTGCGTGATCTCCGCCTGGAAGGCGAAGGTCTCACCTCCTCCTCCTTCATGGGCTGGTCCTGGGTCTGGGTCTCCTCCGGCATCCTGGCAGAGCGCTGCGCCAACACGCACAGTGGCCGCTCAGAGACGCCGAAGCAACTCTATAAACTTGTTTTAAAACAGTGAATAGTGCCCAGGCCACAGCTTGGTTTTGGGGCTGTCTGGAAATTTCCTCTGCCAGATTAATTGATCTATTGTGTTTAATCTCAATGTTACACACAGTTTTAGGACATTGGCCAAATATAGGCAAATTTTCTGCCAAAATCTAACACATATAGTCTCATGTCCAATTGCCAGTGTAGTCATTCTTTCCAATTGAAACTTTCTGAGCTTGGTTTTGCCATCTGCACTTCTATTCACATTTTGGTCTTTTGAACTCTGACAAGAATCTTCCATCAATCTCAGATTACCACATTTTAAACCAGAGTCTCTAAATCTTTCCAAACTCCTTCTGTAAATTCCTCCCAAAGGCTTCTAACCACATGACTAGGTAAGGTACAGTCACAGCAACAACCCCACTCTCTGTACCAAAATCTGTATTGTCACTTTGCTGTCATGGGGACAAAATACCTGAGTGCCACAATTTAAAGCAGGAGAGGTTTATTGTCACCCACAATTTCAGCCCGTGGTTTGCTAGCTCTAAGGCAGAGACAAGATGGAAGGGGACTTGGAGAAGAGAAAGGTGCTCAATGCATGGTATCCAGGAATCAAATAGAGAAGGGAGAAGAACATTCTCTTCTAGCTCATGCCTCAGTAACCTACCTCCAAGAAGGCCCCACCTCCTTATGCCACATTTAGGTATTTAATCCACTGATGAGTATATCATCCCTATGATTCAATTATGTCACGCACATGAATTTTGGGGGTTCTAGATCTAAGCCTTAACAAATATAGAACATATATATTTGTTTTTACTAATTTACTGGTTGATACACTTAGGCTTTTCCCCCATAATCTGACTACTGTAAATAATGTTGTAATGAATATGTGGGGAACAGATACTTGTTCAAGATATAGATTTCGTTTCCTTTGGATATATGACAGATATGGGATTGCTTGATCTTATGTAGTATATAATCAGTTTTCTGTTTCCATAACAAAATATCTGAGATAATAAATTTAAATAAGAGGAAAGGTTTAATTTGACTCAGTGTTGGAGATCGCAGTTCATGGTCAGTTGACTCCATTGCTTTCATCCCTCTGGCAAGGCAGCTTGTAATGGCAGAAACAGTAGTGAAGGAAGCCTGTTCATCTCATGACAAGGAACAAAATATGGAGAAGATACAAGGGTACTGCAACACCCTTTAGGCATGAACTTCATGGACCAGAAGTTGTCCCATTAGACTTTATGTCTAAAAGCTTTGACTAACTCTTAATAGCACTACACTGGAGACTTAGTCTTAAACACATGAGCTTTTGGAGACATTTCAGATCTGAAGGAAGTAAGTCAAGTAGTTCAGTGCCTTGTTTTGTTTTTTTTTTGAGACAGGATCTTATTTTGTACTTCAGGATGACATTGAAGTCACTATGCAGCCCAGGCTGGCCTCAAACTCATAGCAATCCTCCTGCCTCAGCCTTTTGAATGCTAGGATTATAGGGGTGCACCACCACATGCAGAAATTTTTAATTTTTTAAAGAAAATCTGTATTGTTTTCTATAATGGATAGACCAACTTACATTCCTACCAAAAATGTATAAAGAACCTCTTCTGTCACTTCAATAGTACTTGCTGTCTCTTGTTTATTTAATGATAGCCATTTAAACAGGTATACAATGATATTTCCTTTTAGTTTTAATTTTCATTTCTCTGGTGATCAGGGATTTTGAGGATTTACCTATTTTCATTTGGATTTTGGGGAGAAATGTCTAGTCAAGCCCTGTGGTTGTTTTGTAATTGGCTTATTAACTATTTGCGATTGAATTTAAACATTTCTTAATTGTTTCAGAGTAAATCTTTATTCAATATATACCTTCCAATTTTTTTCCCTTACAGGTTGCCTTTTTATGCTGCTGATTATGGTTATTTTCTTTTTTTTTTATGTGCAGAGATTTTTCACTTAGATGCAACCTTATTTGTCCTAATCATTTTTTGGTAACTGAGAAGCTATCTTCTACATCTACAACTGAAGGAGGGGAAGCTTCTGTTGACTCACGTTTCAGTTCATGATCATCCAGCTTCAAAGAAGGCACAGCATGGCAGGGAGGCATGGTGAAGAAGAAACTGCTCACGTGGAGGTGGTCCAGGAGAAAGCAGAGAGAAGGTGCTGGAAGCGTGACATTCCGGGTCATGCCCCCAGTGACAGGGGTCCCATCAGGCTCTACCTCCTAACTGCAAGTCAGCTTTGATGCCTAAAGGGTTTAATCACTGTCCAAAAGTCTCACTGTTGAGGCTCTTGGGGGACCTTGAGATATGAACTTTGATACCACTGGACTGTTTTTATTTCTGCTATCCATGATTTGTCATTCTGCAAAAAAAAAAAAAAAAAAATCATTGCTAGCATCATTTAAATCTCTAGCCCACTGCTTAGGCAGGCACAGGGACAGGGATTTGATTCCTGGCATGCCGGGACAGCAACTGAGACTGGGTGTGGTGGCATGCACCTGTAATCCCAGCGCTTGGGAGGCTGAAAACAAGAGGATCACTATGAGTCTGATCTGTGTAGTGAGACCCTGTACTAATTACCTTAAATAAATAAATCTCTACACTGTTTTGAGTTGTTTTTTGTCAATAGTGAGAGAGAAGGCTTCATTTGCCTTCCTCTGCATGTGAATATTCAAGTTTCCATTTACTGTAGAGCTCTTAAGTCCCTGTCAAAGTTGGGTTGATTAGAGATAGATGGATATTTTTCCCTATTCATTTTTTTTTTCTTTTTAATGTATTTGGTACAAGGTCTACAGGGTCTCACTACAGAGATCAGACTTGTAGTGATTTTCCTGATTTTCAGTCTCCCAAGTGCTGGGATTACAGGCATATACCACCATGCACAGTCTCAATTGCTGTCTCAGCATGCCCTGGGGGCGGGGCCAGCAAGGCAGGCCTAAGCAGGCAACTGTCTAAGCAGGTGCTTTAATCCGCCTAGCTATCTGGCTGGCATTGTCCTATTTTTTTTTTTTTAAGTTGAAAAATTATTACTTAGGTCTACATTGATATTTGAATATTGTATTCTAATTGTTGTACTATACCATTTACCAAAGGCTTTTTATAACTATTTGAAAGCTGAAAACAATCAAAAACCTCTTTTTTTTTTTTTTTTTTTTTTGCAGTACTGGGGATTAAACTCAGGCCCTTGCTCTTGCCAGGCAAATGCTTATTCTACTGAGCTATCTCCCCAGCCCACAAAACCTCTTAATGATGTAGGCAGTACCTGATTTTAGATATTATGACTATCTTGCTTACAAAGCTTCCACTACAAAATATTAAGCTTCCGTCAACAGAACAGTAAAATGAAAGACACAAAAAGAATTTGAGTAGCACTATATTCAAATGTTCTTCAGATGATGAGAGTAACAGGAAAATGTATAATACTTCAACTTTAGATTTGTGTATTTATATAGAGTTGTTTTGGCAAAACTTTTCTATTTCTTTTTGCTCCTTTGGCTATCTTTCTGTAAATCAAATTGTTGTCCTGATTTCATAAGATCTGAATACATACAGATCACTTGAATATAATTTTAAGAACTTCAGTTTATATTGTAAACTTTTATAGTTTTGAGCAAATTCAGCTTGCCTTCCCTACATGCATTTCTTCTTTCTTTCCTTTTTTTTTTTTTTTTTTTTTTTTACAGTACTGGGGATTGAACTCAGGACCTTGTGCTTGCCGGGGAGCACTTATTCCACTGAGCCATCGCCCCAGCCCC